TAGGCAATTGAAATTTATGATAAAGTACATTTATTATACCTAATTTAAATCAAATATCATCATTGAAATTTACTATACTTCACAATCCAAGGATTATTACATAGTATCATTAATCGAAATTTAGTAAACGAAAATTATTCAATATGGGGAATATTGGTAAGCATTATAAATTTAGACACCGTAAACGCGATCGGAATTCAAACTATTAATTGTTTGCTTATTATAATTGCAACATAGAGTAAAGTGTATTTCTTAATTATGCCAAATTAGATATCGCAGGAATTGCTGATGATAAATCAACAAATTTATTTTGGATAGCCTATAATAATATTTTACTGCTAACAGTTTCCTCTCTTGATTATGATTATATAGCACCAACAGCATACCCACGTAATATAACTCTAATCAATTCATCATCAACTTCACTTTCTCTTCTTTGGCATACCCTTCCTTTATCTGACCATAATGGTGTCATTATTCAATATCGAATTCGTTATAATGCTACTCAGTGGAACCATTATGGAGAAGTTTATATCAGCGGAACAGCCAATATGACAACACTAACCAATTTAATGGTTTATACAACTTATAAAATTATAATGAGTGCTGCCACTTTCGTCGGATACGGACCCGAAAGTCCGATAATATCAATGACTACGAATCAATCGGGTTAGATAACCTCTTTTTAATGGTATTTTTATGATCGTAGGGGTGCTTTATGATATTATTAGTTTAGATTACTTTACCAGTAACTTATCAATCAGATAAATACTAGAATTAAAAACAGTTATATAATACTATAAAAGTCTAGTCTTTAAGTTAGTACATTGTACTTACTGCATATACTTCACTAAATGGACTGCTTGCTAAAAAAACGGCGTAATATTTTATGTTGATTAGGCATTGCAGTAATTCGTAAAATAAAAAAAGTTTATGCCTAGTCAATCCTATACTACCATTTAAACTAAATATCTTTTTATATCGTCTCAATAATTACCATTTAAATTGCATATAGTATTTCTTTTTTGCTACAATAACTAAAGCATCTAAATTATTTTACCTGTAAAATTATAAGGTTATATCCGCCTTCTCATACTTTAAAAAATAACTTTGATTTAATATACTCATATACTATCGTTTTCGTCATCAGTACCAAGTTTCTATCCTTTGGAAGTAAATGCTACGGCTATATCAGCTACTGCAATAAATGTGACGTGGAAGCCGCCACCCATGCTACATAGAAATGGAATTATAACCAGATATAGTGTACAGTACAATTCTAGTCTTGGTAATAGTGGAGGAATTATTTTCCTGAACGGGTCTTTAATGGCCGCAACTTTGAGAAATCTGCTTCCTTTTACTAATTATTCAATCACCTTGAAGGCCGCTACCATAATTGGGTTTGGACCTCAAAGTCCTAATATTACAGTAAATACGTGGGAAGCAGGTTAGCATGTAATTTGATTTTATATTTTCAAATCTGTTGTTATATAGATCAAATGTATTATTTATTCTACTTTATCGATTTTACATCATGTTAGTACCTCAATCTTATCATCGAAATATTAGCGGCAAACCATTATCTGCTAAAGCTCTCTAATTAGCTAGCTGCCACTTTCTTTAACCGATCGAAATGGCATTATAATAAGTTATAGAATACATTATAATTCAACTAGAGACAGTCATCACGGATCCCTGCTAGTTACGTCTCCAGCAGTCAATCCTTTACTACCATTTAAACTAAATATCTTTTTATATCGTCTCAATAATTACCATTTAAATTGCATATAGTATTTCTTTTTTGTTACAATAACTAAGCATCTAAATTATTTTACCTGTAAAATTATAAGGTTATATCCGCCTTCTCATACTTTAAAAAATAACTTTGATTTAATATACTCATATACTGTCGTTTTCGTCATCAGTACCAAGTTTCTATCCTTTGGAAGTAAATGCTACGGCTATATCAGCTACTGCAATAAATGTGACGTGGAAGCCGCCACCCATGCTACATAGAAATGGAATTATAACCAGATATAGTGTACAGTACAATTCTAGTCTTGGCAATAGTGGAGGAATTATTTTCCTGAACGGGTCTTTAATGGCCGCAACTTTGAGAAATCTGCTTCCTTTTACTAATTATTCAATCACCTTGAAGGCCGCTACTATAATTGGGTTTGGACCTCAAAGTCCTAATATTACAGTAAATACGTGGGAAGCAGGTTAGCATGTAATTTGATTTTATATTTTCAAATCTGTTGTTATATAGATCAAATGTATTATTTATTCTACTTTATCGATTTAACATCATGTTAGTACCTCAATCTTATCATCGAAATATTAGCGGCAAACCATTATCTGCTAAAGCTCTCTAATTAGCTAGCTGCCACTTTCTTTAACCGATCGAAATGGCATTATAATAAGTTATAGAATA